GATAATGTGTCGCAACTCTCTAGTAGATGTTCTAGTCAAATAGGGGTGAACGATGAATGCAGAAATCGTCGTTTATCATCAGGCTTGGAGTCTGTAAATACAGAGTCTAGTCACAAAAGACATGGGTCAGACAGTGAGTTGTCTTGTCCCCAACAAATAGAAACAGAAGGACAGGTGTCTAGTCCCCATTTAACGCAAAAAGATGGACAAGTGCCTCAATCCGAACTGTCAACTGGACACGACAATTTACCCAGGCTTGGTGCTGTGATAGGTGATAGCGAGGGGGCGGAAAGGGGGGAAACATATTCCCCGGGGAAGGGGCAGACAGAACCCCCGTGTGAGGCAGAGGAAATGGACAAACAGGATAGCTCTACTGTGATATCTAGGTCAAGTTCACAAGAAGACGGTGAAAGAAAGATGAAACGAGGCGTATCTGTAGAAGATATTGCAGAAAAATTAAAAAGGAGTACGTATTATTTTAACATTTTCTTGTCTCTATATATATATCTTAAATGATGTTATATTTACATCACATTAATTCTATTGCACTAACTTTGAAGTCTTCAAAATTATTCATGTTTGTAATTTTTATCAAAAATTATGATATGTATCATATAAGCAAGCTGTTATGAAATGAAATTAAGGAAACAATCTTTAGAGACAGTATTGCAATAAAGTACAAACTGTAAACCGGTAAAATTTTAAGCATTTCTGTATCTTTTTCTTACAAAGGTATTGAGAGAGATGCAGTTAAGATTTTTCAAAAATATTTGTCCCATGATGCCACAGATCCTATTGGTGCTCCAGACGGGCTACGCAATGAAACCATACGTAAGTTTATGACGAAGCATTCGATAAAATTATGTGTACACATGTATCTTGCTAATGGTACTACTAGAATGGACAATGTTTTTGCACAGTCTGTGCATCACATTTCCTAGGGCATACCTCAAATTCACTGTCATCCACAGATGCCAAATTCTGCATGAGAGTTTCTGAAGAGATGGTAAAGAGTCATATGCCTGCTACTGAAATTGGGTATTTTGCTACTCTCTAAACAGAGATATGTCCTTCTCTTCTTCACCAACCGTCATGTACACCCTGTCCTCTGCACAATTACCTTCGTCTGCTTGTGAGACCATCATCAAAAATTTGTTTGATTTTAGTTTCCCAACTGATTCACTAATTAAAGGCACCTACACAAACTTTTATTTGGAACTTTTGCCAAAAAAATGCTTTTGATGAAAGTTCAGACACTTTAACTCATTTACCCCTGAAATTTCATAATGAATTATTCCAACCTTTGAATTGGAAGAGTTCAAATGTGTCTTCAGGGATGAATGAGTTAATAAAGTTTATGTATAAAAATATGAGGTATTTTAAACACTTACAAGATGCTTAATAGAATCTTCCCCTACCTTGAGGGTGTGACAGAAATCTCCAACCCGATGGGGTAATGTTTTTTGGTTGTGTAACCCGAGGCTCTGCCAAAAAAATCACCCCGAGGGTTGGAGATTTCTCTGTTACACCCTCAAGGTAGGGGATGATTGTTTTTCTCCCATCCTATTATTTCAGTCACAGCTCCTCCGACAGTAGTCTGCCATGTTTGTAAACAAAAACACATGCAGGGTATTAATATCGTCATTCACTTTTGATGACGTCACAATTACCGATGACGCAGTTTAATGACGTCACAATTGAACACATGCTAATCGGCATGAGGCTATCTTCTCCTAGGGGGTGACAAGCTGATCTTTCCCGGCTAAAACGGGAGACACACCTGTGAAGGGTGGGAGAAAAGACATTGAACCCCATTAAAGATAATATTTTCAACATCAGAATTATATTCAAGACACCAACATCAACTGACCCAAGGTAGATTTAAATGAACACTGTACATTCAAATTACAGAAAGTTGTCTTGAATCTGTTACAGACACGATTTGCAGGGAAGACGGCCAAGTTGATCCACAGTGTTTTTCATCCTGTCAGGATTTTGTTTTCAAGAAAATGGAGAAAGAGAGAGTTTTGTGATTTGGACATTTTGAATGCAGTGAGTCCCAGCACTTATAATAATGTTCTGTATCTCTGAAAAACGTACTTTTTAGCCACTTATTGTTCAACTTTTATTGTTGTTATTGACAATGTTTTTGTAACTATATTATATCATACATGTTGTTATCAATTCATTTATTGGATCTAAAGGTCTGTTGAATTCAAATATTTATTGAAATATATGAAGAATCTTCGTAATGCCATTTTTAAATGAGGGGACTAACTCTTTTTTTAAGAAGAACCCATGGCAACTAATGACTAAATGGTCAGGTTAACTTATCTTTACAAAAAATGCATTGAAGGTTTTACCAGGACTTCGTAGTGAGCGAATACTACTACATGCATCAGATCAACCTTCTGACCAGTACACAAGTCCACCTAGCTGACGTGTTGTACAATGAAGGGGCACTCTTCTACTTTATGGAGTACCTTGAACAGGAAGGGGGCAGCCATTTTCTCCAATTTCTTTTAGCCACAGACAACTTTCAGCAGCATCTCATGTCTTGTGGTGGTCAGTATGATGGGATGGAGGCTCAACGGGATGCAATGGTGCTATACGACAAGTTAGTATTAAATATGGAAGCATGCAACAAATTACCATATTTGGTATAAATTTGCATACCATAATTTGCATATACCTTGTTTAATGTTACACATGCTAATGACATGAATGAAGTTTGTGTTGATACTTTCAAATGTTTTATTATATTTTGATTACTGAGATAATAAATTTAATCAACTAAAAAAAACCTGATATCTTTCACACTATTTTTTTGTACTCATCAGAACAGCTCTTTTTATACGTCTGTCAAATTTGACAGGAGTATTATGGTATGGCGTCGTCCGTCCGTCCAGCGTAAACTTTTGTCCAGCAGTCTCCTCCTACATTGTTCGACCGATCTCTTTGAAACTTGGTTTACATTATAATTATGATATGAAGTTGTGTCTCCCTTAAAAGAATTTTGATTCAACTATTTTTGCAAAAGTTATTGCCCTTTGTTCATTTCAGTATTTGATTTTTTATCCAGAGATTTTCTCCTACATTTTTTATAGCATGTCAGCTAACCTCTCTTAGAATGATGCAGATCTTATTTCAATGTAAGAAAGTATATAACACTATATGGCATTCGCCGGGCGTATATCGTTCTGCCCCGCGGTACTCTTGTTTTCTCATTTTATTCAAAGCCGCAGTTTTTCTGTTACGATACAGATGAAGTGATAGCAAAATGAATGTTTTCGTACATCTTGATGCTACATACTCTCAGATATTGATTTACCTACACATTGACACCATTTGAATCTTCCCAAGTAATAGAAAAAAGGCAGAATTGTGTTAAAAAGCGCACTGCCTAATCAAGTGTCATGTCATTGGACTTACGGTAATGTGTTATATCCCTAACTAACATGATGTAGTCATTTTTTGTTGTCTATAGGTAGTTTTGAAATATTAAAAATAGAAAATTTAATGTTTTACCTGTGGAATACCATATATATTTCACTTGTACGGCGGCAGAATCACGATATTTTCACCTGTGGTTTGTACTCGTGAAAAATATTGGTATTCTGCCATAAGAGAAAAATATACATAATAATGATATGTATCCCAATGATATCATTGGGATACCTTCAAATAACCTCCGTCTAGTCCACTAGCTAGACCTAGCTTATTACCATATCAGTTAAATAATGACCAATTCTATAATGTACCGTCTGTGAAAAGTTTATTTGATACAGTTTCAGTGGTTGATATATGATTACATGTACTTGTACTCAATCGATCTTTACAACACAATTTAATATATTTCACAACCAATTCTTTCGCTATTGAGGTATTCTTTTTACATCTTTTACACTTTGGCTATTTTTTGTTTGATGTTTTTCTTGTTTGTAATGTCTATCTTTAAGGTTATATCGCCCTAAATAACTGACATTGTTGATGGGCCGTTAAACAATACAAAAACAAACAAAACATCCAGCTTTATCAAAGAATTCCAAGTATAGTCCATGGAGATAGATGCTCAATTTAAAAAGAAATAATTGTCAGAAGGGTATCAAACTGAACAATATACAATATGATTGCAATTTAAATATATATCTTATCGCGACCTGGCCACCGATCACTGATTTATAACTTAATTGATATAATACCTATACATGTGCCAAAACAAAAATATCTGACCAGGTGGTCGATCAAAATATTAATCCGTAATTGCAGTTTCAATCCACCCTCCGCATTCTGATCGATCAGTACAACTGAACTTTCGTCATTACTCAAGAAAACATCTACTGCTTTGCGGCCTACACACTTGTCTCTGCTTTGCAATTGAACTTACTAATTGATAATGAATATGTAAGTAAATATAAGAAAGATATATATACCATTATTCATCTCCAGATTTGCAAATATATATCGCTATATAACGCCATCGTTGTTCCGTATCAACGACTTGACTGTATTTGCAATGATTTTTACCGATGTTGACTGGGATAGTTCGAACTACTCTTTATTGAAGTGGCTACAATTTCGTGTAATTCGAACAGGATTGACAATATTTTTTTTTTAAACTACCTTCAACTATAAAATTTCAACTGATTCCCACCACCAGTACAAACCTGGGTGTGGTGATTGGTAATCTGTTAGAATGTGCAGTAATGGACAATATTAAAACACTTAGTGGACACATCAAATAAGCTTTTGAAAAATATTGCACTTCAGCGATATTTCATTTCTTTATTACAATACAATACAATGGCTGTGAATTGCAATATACTGGTTTATGACATCAGCCTTCAACAACTCCAGATGAGATTGCTAATCCATCGCACATATACGCCTACCTGTTTATGTATTGTATACACATTATTTTACCAAACATGGGTGTAGAGCAGTTCCCATCATCTCCTCCTGTTACCTATGCTCTATACCTTCAGCATTAATAGTCTTGTACACTCTGAACGAATCTATTTACTGAAGTGTCCCATATGGAATACAATGTACTGTGTGTACTGTACCACAAGCTTATAGCCCACCATCATCAGATGGTAGACTGTTCAAGGCGCCTTCGTCCATAGTCCATCGGTCATTGGTCTGCCCTAAAACAATCCTTGTGCTTTTCAAAAAGTACTGGAGAGATCTTCCTCAAATATTTCACATGAAGATTTCCCATTGCCCTTAATTATGCATATCAAATTTTAGGATCGATTTGAAAACCATTATGGGCGCATCTTGAATTTTGATAGTTCAGATTTGTTATCGCTTTTTCTCAAAAGGTATCTCAGGGATCAATTTTTGGGTTGATCAGAAAACCAAGATGGTCAACAAGCGGCCATCTTGAATTTTGAGAGTTTGTTAGCTCTATTTCTCAGACAGTACTTGATGGACCTTTCTCAAATTTCACATTAGGATTCCCATGTACCCTTAGATATAGTGATGCATATCAAATTGTCAAGATGACTGACAGGTTGGCATGTTGAATTTTGAGAATTAGAGGTTGTAAGTGTTATTTCTCAAAAAACGGGTTTGATCTACCTCAAGTTCTACATGAAGGTTTCCAGTGGTCTGTCAGTGTACAGAGACTGATTAGAAAAACAGGATGGCCACTATAGATAGCCATCTTGAATTTGGTATTTCAATTTGGTTATCACTTTTCTCAAGAATTATTAGATAGATCTTTATCAAATTTATATGTTCATTTTCATATATAGTTAAGTTGTGCATGTTTCATTTTGAGGCAGAAGTGATATATCACTACATACATGTACATTGTATTTCCCAAAAAGTACTAGACAGATCTTTTTCAAATTTCAATCTTAGGTTCACCTTTTTACACATTTAGTACTGTGCTAGTAAATAGGCCAAGTAAAACCTCACTTTGAAAGAACAATGTTATAGGTACATATCATTATGAAGCGTAGATCAAAAGTTACCACAAGGTGGATTTATTGCTTACATGACTCAATCCAACAGATATGAGAAAAGAATAGATAAATACTACATAGAACCTATGACAACATATGACTGTGCCTCACGTTGCCTCACATTTTGATTGAATGTGCCAATTTTTAACAGATTCGAGACAATTTCATGATATGCCTGATGTGAGAACTTAATCCCATGCAGTTAATTTGTCACACATTGTCGAATCTCTGTTAAATTTGTCTATATCATAAATTTAGACATTTGCAAAAATACATTCTATAATGATTTGAATATCTATGTGAAATTTGTACACATCATAAAATTTGATAGTTCCAAAAACACATGTCATAATGATAACTGACCATTTCGCTGTGTGTATGCATTTTCTAACGTTTTACCATTCAGTTTCCTTTTGGCGTATTAAGTTTTGTAAGTTCCCCTTTTGTTGTCAGGCCCGATACATCTCTATTGTTTCTAGGCCATTAAGCAAATAACCAACCAACTTATCAGTTTCAAATTGAGGTTCAAAGTTTGTAACAGTACGCTTTTTATTGTTAGCTCACCTGGTCCGAAGGACCATGGTGAGCTTATGCCATACCGCAGCGACCGTCGTCCGCCCGTCAACTTTTCCTTTAAAACGCTACTAGTCATGAACGACTGAGCAGATTTTGACCAAATTTGGTCAGAAGCATCCTTGGGGGAAGGGGAACAAATGTTGTATAAATGGTGGGTCTGGCCCCCCTGGGGGCTGAGGGGCGTGGCCCAATAGGGGTAATATAGCAAATTATTCTTCAAAATCCTTCTTCTTCTTTAGGAATGAAAGGATTTGTTCCATTTTTGGTAAGAAGCATCCTTAGGTGAAGGGGAACCAATTTTGTTTAAACCGTGGGTCTGGCCTCCAAGGGGCCTGAGGGGCGGGGCCCAATAGGGGAAACATAGCAAATTATTCTTCAAAATCCTTCTTCTTCTGTAGGAATGAAAGGATTTGGTCCATAATCGGTCAGAAGCATTCTTGGGTGAAGGAGAACCCCAATTTTGTATAATTGGTGGGTATGACCCCTTTAGGGCATAGGGGTGGGGCTCTGTTTGAAGTTAGTTCTTGCTATATTTCAAGTACGGAGTACAAGTATGGATCTTTCTGAAATTTCATATGTACTTACAGCACCTAACATTGAGTGCCATATCTTTAATTCATACCAATTATTTTAAACATATATTTAGGTGAGCGATACAGGCTCTATGGGCCTCTTGTTTTTCAATATTTTTCTATAAAATGTTTCATATGATACTTGTGTGATGGACTAAATAATCCCATGTTTGAACACAATTTCTTTCAGATATTTTTCTTTGCAAGCTACAGATCCACTTGGTTTTGATGATAAAAAAAGGTTTGAGATAGAAGAAAATATATGTCGGGAAGAAGGTCCACTTCCGGAGTGTTTTGCCAAACCACGAGATATCGTCCATAAAACTATAGAGAAGGTAAGTCTCCAAAAACACTGTTCTACTTAACAAAAATCTTGATGATAAAATAAGCTGTAAGAATTTAGAAAGTCGCAGTACTAGTGTAACTCTCTGTTTATTTCGTTTGAAAGTCAGAAGAATTCTGATTAAATTTTACCTCATTATTTCGATAAATTTTACTTCATTATTTCGATACAAGTGATGTTGGATTGATACTGTACCTTTGGTATTTGTTTCAGTGACTCTGTCAGTATCCCACTTTTTAAGTATTTTTAAGGGTCAGTTTTTAGCTCACCTGGCCAAGCCATTCATCATCATGATAATGTGTTCCTTGAAAACACTTCTAGTTAAGACTATTATAGCAATGTTTGCAATTTTTCTGAAAATTTGTCTCTGATGTAAATTTTGTGTATTTCAGGCATACTTTAAGGCTTACTTACAGAGTGATGTATATTACAAGTATCTATCTGAGCTGGTTAGCACAGTGGAAACAGCCAACTACCCACCTCGACAACGTAAACGCACCGGTCAGTACACTGCAGAAAATCCATGATAGAAGCCTTAATAAACAACAGCTGATTTCCAAAGGGGAAAAGGATACAATGTAGAACCAATGTCACTCAAAGTCCCAATATTTCGGCCTCCTGGCCTTCTTCAAGGGCGCAAGTCAACGATTGGTTCAAGTGATGTCCATCTTGCCTCTTCAGAGGTTTGAAATCAGTTGTTGCCTTTCACCCTTGAAGAAGGCCGGCCAGGAGGCCAAAATATTGGGACTTAGAGTGACATTGTGCTATTTGTTATTTTTCGTGATAGAAGAGTTAAAATGACATGTTGTGTATCCCTGAAAAAATGTAGATATTGTTATTAGAGGAGGAGTACTGTCTACAGAGAAGACAATAATTTTGAAAATGCTTATGCATCATTAATGCCAAAACTGTTAATATGACAATATAGCTAGATTGCAACTCCATATATACCAACTTAAATGATTGACCTATGAAAAATAGTGTTAATCTTATTAACCCATTAAAATTGAAGCTAGTCGTTTGACTCATTTTACTCTAAACTTTAAATAATCTGACCTGAAAATTGATGAAATTACCACTTTTACTGAAAATTGATGAAATTACCACTTTTACTGATAGTTGATGAAATGACCACTTTTACTGAAAATTGATGAAATTACCACTTTTACTGAAAATTGATGAAATTACCACTTTTACTGAAAATTGATGAAATTACCACTTTTACTGATAATTGATGAAATTACCACTTTTACTGATAATTGATGAAATTACCACTTTTACTGATAATTGATGAAATTACCACTTTTACTGATAATTGATGAAATTACCACTTTTACTGATAATTGATGAAATTACCACTTTTACTGATAATTGATGAAATTACCACTTTTACTGATAATTGATGAAATTACCACTTTTACTGATAATTGATGAAATTACCACTTTTACTGATAAAATTACCACTTTTACTGATAATTGATGAAATTACCACTTTTACTGATAATTTCACCATTAACTGCATTGAAATAACATTTCTAATTATAGCTTACATTTAAGTTTATAATTAAGTAAAGGGTACCAACAAGCTTAACTACATAGTTTCTGGTATTATTATTGTCACTTTTGTGAAATATTTGCTTAAGTTCTTTTTCAAACGAATTATTCGATAAAATCCCAGGCTATAAGTAATTTTATTGAATTTCAGTTTTTCAAAATTTGCTGTTTTGAAAAAGAAGTAAATAAGAAAGAAAGAAGAAAATTTGTGGAGGTTAATTATAAACACAGGAGCTTCATGTTGAAAAACCTACACTTTGTAACTATGCTGTTGTCATCTACTAATTATCAATGAACTGCACAAAATGAAAGTCTAATCTATGGGCGACAGTATGTTTGGAAAAACAATGAATATTGAAAAATACGTAATTTAACAAGGGAATCAACTCTCGCCGAAAACGAGCCATTCAGATTGATATGTCTCGCCTGTGCCCCACTTTGACCATCAATGCACATGTCAAGTTTGGTTGGTCTAGCACTTAACGCTTCAGGGAACCTAACTTAAACGCAAAAACCTTATGTTGATGGAGATGCTGACAAAGTCAATGGACCATGAAAGGTAGGCCGCATCCAGCATTTGATGTATGGGTTGAGATGTACTACCTTATAAGATGCGATTCTATGGTCCAAGCTTGGTTGGTGTAGCACTAAGTCTTATAGATTCAGAGAAACCAACTTAAACGCAAAAACTTTATGCTGACGCCATCGCCGGAAAAGCAACACCTTAGTCGTTTCCGCTACTTCGTGACGGCGAGACAAAAAACACTTCTGCTTGCTTCATCATTTATATCAAAGGGAGAACACTCTAAGTCAAAAACTCTTGAGTGGAACTCTTCTACACAGTTATAGCTGATGCAGTGGTGCCCTTTACCTTAATGTTTAAGTTTTGTTCATATGCGGACAGTTTTGTTTTATTTAACAATGAATAAGAATAAAATTTTACCTTCTTAAATTGCCGTTTCTTTATTCACAGCCAGTGATGCCTCCTCAGAACACAGCAGTCACAGTGCTGGAAGTGAAAGTCGATCGTCCAAAAACACCTACCTGGCCACAGACACGAGTCATCTACGTCACAGCATGAACAAGCTCGACACTGCCATGAACCTTGATCCTGGGCTCCTGAACCCTGACCTTTTATGGAAAAGACACAGTCCAAAGTAAATTTCTGCTGAAATAATAATTTGTTTTCCCTGCATGTATAATGTACATCACTTGAGTTAATGTAGCTATTTGCACTATGGCTAACTAGCAGTTGGTCTGCATACATGTCTCTACTACCGGGTATATTTTATATAACGAAAATAAACGTGTAATGGCTTTGCTTTACACTGTATACTGGTTCTTAAGGCCGATAATAATAAAGCGTTTACCTAGATCCCAATCCAATTTTTAAGTGTTGATGGGTTTGTAGGTTGGTAGGTACATGTAGGTAGGTAGGGAAAACATTTTATCAGTGCCCCACATCAGAGATACGAGTGCCGTATAATAATCATGGTGCCCGTCTGTCCATCTGTCTACACATTCATTTACAGTGATTATCTCTGAATTCTAAAACTTTTAGAAATTTGACACGGTGATACACTGTGATATATTTATGTGCAAGGTCGGGTTACTATTACTGAAAAAGACCAAGGTTGGGGAGGGG